TTCTCGGTAACAAAACCAACACCCACAGATACAAAAAAATTGAAGTAATCCACTGTGTCTTATCAGATCGCCATGGAGTAAAGTTAGAATTCAACAACAATACTACTCCTAGAAAGCCTACAAACTATGGTAACTGAACAGTCAACTACTGAACCACTCCTGAGTCAATGAAGAAATAAATAAAGAAATTAAAATCTTCCTTAAATTCAACGAAAATGAAGTCACAACATATCCAACCTATGGGACACTATGAAAGCAGTGCTAAGAGGAAAGCTCATAGCACTAAGTACCCACATTAAGAAAATGGAGAAAGCTCACATCAATGACCTAACAGCATGCCTGAAAGCTTTAGAAAAAAAGAAGCAGACTCACCTAAAAGGAGAAGAAAACAGGAAATAATGAAGTTGAGGGCTAAAATCAACAAAATAGAAACACAGAAAACCATACAAAGAATCAATGAAACAAAGAGCTGTGGTTTTTTTGAGAATATCAACAAGACTGACAAACCCTTATCCAAACTAATCAAAAAGCAGAAAGATAACATCAAAATTAACAAAGTCAGAAATGAAAAGCGGAACACAACAATGGACACTGAGGAAATTCAGAGAATCATTATGTCCTACTACAAAAATCTATACTCCCCAAAAATGGAAAATGTAAAAGAAATGAACATTTTTTTAGATAGATACCATCTACCAAAATTAAACTCATGACCAGATGAGCAATTTAAATAGACCTATAAGCTGTGAGGAAAGAAAAGTTGCCATCAAAAGCCTCCCAACCAAAAAAAGCCCATGGCTGTATGGTTTTAGTGCAGAATTCTACCAAAACCTTCAAGAAGAACTAATTGCTATACTCCTCAAAGTGTTCCACATAATAGAAACAGAAAGGCTCACTGCCAAACTCTTTTTATGAAGTTACAGTTACCCTGATACCAAAACTGCACAAAGACTCAACCAAGAAAGAGAATTACAGACCAGTCTCACTCATGAACATGGATACAAAGATTCTCAATAAAATTCTGGCAAACAGAATCCAAGAACACATAAAAAAAATTATCCATCATGACGAAGAAGGCTTCATCCCAGAGATGCAGGGCTGGTTCAACATTTGAAAATCAATCAATGTAATCCACAGAGACATTGACCAATGGAATCAAAATGAAGACACGGATATTAACCCACAAACCTATGAACACCTGAGTTTTGAAAAAGGAGCTAAAAGAATATAATGGAAGTAAGAAAGCATCTTCAACAAATGGTGCTGGCATAACTGAATGTCAACCTGTAGAAGAATGAAAATGGATCCATATATGTCACCATGCACAAAACTTAAGTCCAAATGGATTAAAGACCTCAATATAAATCTGACCATACTGAACCTGATAGAAGAGAAAGTGGGAAGTAACCTTCAATACATGGGCACAGGAGGCCATGTCCCAAATATAACCCCAGTAACGTAGACAATAAGACCATCAATAAATAAATGGGACCTTCTGAAACTGAGAAGCTTATGTAAAGCAAAGGACACAGTCAATAAGACAAAAAGGCAGCCTACCAAATGGGAGAAAATCTTCACCAACCCCATCAGACAAAGGAATGATGCCAAATATATAGTGAACTCAAAAAATTGACATTAAAATTCTAAATAACCCTATTAAAAAGTGGTGTATTGAACTAAACTGAGAATCCTCAAATGAAGAATTTCAAATGGATAAAAGATACTTAAAGACATACTCATCTTCCTTAGCTCTCGGAAAGGCAAATCAAAACAACTTTGAGACACCATCTTACCCCTTTCAGAATGGCTAAGATCAAAACCACTAATGGTAGTTTATGCTGGAGAAGTTGTGGAGCAAGGGGAACACTCATCTACTGCTGGTGGGATTCCAAACTTGTGGAACCACTTTGGAAATTAGTGTGGCAGTTTCATAGAAAACAGGGAATCAACTTACCTCAGGATCCAGCAATTCAACTCTTGGGAATATACCCAAAAGATGCTCAATCATAATACAAGAACATTTGTTCAACTAGTTTCATAGCAGCACTATTTGTAATAGCCAGAACCTGGAAACAACATAGATGCCTCTCAACTGAAGAATGGATAAAAAGAGTGTGGGACATCTACACAGTAGAGTACTACTCAGCAGTAAAAACAAAACGAAAAAAAGGACATCATGAATTTTGCATGCAAACGGACAGAATTAGAACACATCATCCTGAGTGAGGTAACCCAGATCCACCAAAAATGAATATGGTATGTAGTCACTCATAAATGGATACAAGTCATAAACAAAGGGCAATGAGCCTATAGTTCAGGTTCCTAGAGAAACTAAGTAATAAGGTAAACCCAAAGAAAAACATATATAGACCCACATGCAAATTGGAATCAGACAAAAATTTGGGAGCAGGGGTGGGAGTAATAAGAAAGTGAGAAGGGGGTTGAGGAGAACTTGAGGGAATGGGATAGTTGAGATGGAGGAGAGACAGATATGAGAGCAAGAAAAGACATATCTTGATTGAGGGAGCCAGTATGAAGTTAGCAAGAAACCTGGCTCTGGAAAAATGCCTACGAACCCACAGGGATTACCCAAGCTAAGACCCTAAGCAATAGAGGAGAGGGTGTCTGAACTGACCTTACCCTGTAGTCAGACTAATGATTATCTTAAATATCATCATAGAACCTTCATCCAACAACAGATGGGAACAGAGGCATTGACCCACATCAGAGCACTGAACTAAGTTTCCAAGATCCAGTTTAAGAGTGCAAGGAGTGAGAGTATGAGAAATGAATTCAAGACCATGAGGGGTCTATCCACTGAGACAGTTTGCCTGAGCTCACCTTTCCAACTAGACTGGAAGTCAACTCTGAACGGGCTTGACAATTGGGGCAGAATGAGGGGTCACTGATAGTGACACTGGGATTTGTCTCTACATCATTTACTGGCTTCTTGGGATCCTATTCTATTTGGATGTAAGCCTTGCTCAACCTAGATGTAGTAGGGAGGACCTTGGACTTTCTACAGGGTGGGGTGCATGGCCCTCTCTTAAGATTGGAGGGTGTGGGGTGGGAGGGCCAGTAGAGGGAGAGGGACAGGACAGGGAGGAGGGGAGGAAGTGGGAATTTGGATTCATATTTTTTAAGTAATTATAATAATAATAATAAATAAAATTCAAAAAACAAAAAAAGAGAAGTAGATGTTAGATCAAGTTAAAGATTGCCCACAATTATAAAAGTTTCCATTTCCAAAAAAAAACCTGTTTCATTTCAAAGGACATTATTTTATAAAGCTCAAAATATTAACAGAAATAAATTATTTTGTAAAATCAAAAAAAAAGATTGCCCACAAATGTAGAAAGGAGACAATAGCTAAGAGAGAAAAGTGTCTCTTCTGTATTGTGTCAAACCATATCCAAATACAACTAATGATGACTATAACAATATCAGTAATAATGCTAATTATGAAGGTGTCCAACCCTAGACAAAGAACTACAGGGAGCTAATTACTATTAGGAGAAGAGTAGTTAGTTTTTTCCACAACTGTGCCCCCTACTGGTTATCCAAAACAAAATATTCAGCCCTCAAATCAATACACAGAAGTCACACTAAACAGACCCAGTAGATTCTATTTATATATTTGTTCAACTATATGCTGATATAACAATAATAATAGAAAAGAGCTCATCAATTTGAGAAAGAGTGATGGGGGAACATGGGAGGAATTGATAGGAGGGAAAATGGGAGGTTCTGGAGAAGAAAATTTAAGGAGGAAAGTCATTTAATTCTATATTAATTAAAATATCTTTAAAACATAATAAACAGATTACATAATAATAGTGTTACATAAATATTATGAAAACATATTTAGAATTACTTACCATTAAGCATTTTTATTCATATAGAAAATGATTTCATAATTATGGTCAGTGTTCCAAATACTAAACCATTATGAATTTAAAAAGCACAGTTAATCCATGGTTAATTGATGTATTCTAGCAGAATAACAACAGTGAAAAGGGATCCTCCATTGTAACTTTTTTTTCCATAATAGCTACTTGTAGATAACAGAATTTCAGATTTTTTTTTAAAAAAAGAGTTAGGATTCTCACAGATTATTTTATCCTGGAGAAATTTTCCAAAGAGAAAACTGGGCCTCTTTTTATTTGTAAAGAAATCCTCCGGTAGCTTAGTCATCTGCCCATAATGGACGAAACTACACAGTCAGGTATGGCATATGTTCCACCCCACTCCAGTGCATTCCTCCACACCTCTCGGATTAAGAACAAAAATCTGAAATCTAATTTGCAAAGAAGGTAGAATCCTATCCTCTGGTAAGATTGGTAGACTTAACTGCAATGAAATAGGAATTCATGTAAATCTAAACGGAGCCAACAAATCCAGTCTTCCTCCCCACCATCAGGAATCTGTTTAAAGAAATTAAGATAAAATTTGACAAAGAGTACAAATGATTTACCAAGTAGTAAGACTAAGTCTCAGCTAAAATGTATGGCTTTACTTTCTACATTTGACAGAATGACAGAAAAACAATAAAAGAAGTCCAAGAATTGGGCTAGAATCTGAAAATGTGTGAAGCAAGGTTTTTCCTGTATATATATATATATATATATATATATATATATATATATATATATATATGTGTATATATATACACACAATTTTGACACATGTGTCTAATCAGAGATTTAATTTGTCATGTATTACTTTCTTCTTGCTTAAATATATTTTAAATTCCATAAAACATTTCAAAGAGGAGAAAAGTAAACAAAATCAGCATTATTATTTTTTGTTAAGTCAAATTTTAATACTTGATATAAAAGATTTAATTTGTAAATCAAATATTGAGACATTGTAAGTAGATAACATTTACAAGAACTACTATTCAAGAAGAATGAAACTCTTGCACACTAGATTTATAACTCTTACCTGGCAGGAATTTAAAATATTGAAAAACATTCCTGCTAAGGAAGCATGTCGGGCACCTGCAGATTATCAGCTCTGTCATTTGTCCAGCTTCATATAATAGCCTTCTGTGACTTCCATTCCTCCTTGGCTCCACTACCAGTGCATCACCCCGATCGTCTCCTTCAAAGTCACTTTTAATGCTCATAGCATTATCCTTGACCAAAACTCCAGCAGGCATTCCAAGAGATCCACAGGCCACTCCAACCAGGGAAGCAAGGAGGCCTGAGAAGCAGGTAGTAAAGCTTCAGATCTTCACTCTCCCTTCTCTCCTCCATCTCTCTGTATCATTCCCAGCTCTGTAGCAGACTACCTCTGTGCAATCCCTTTACTCTGTCCCCATTTCCAAGGGACTAAGCAGATCCAGCTGGAATGCTATGCTTTCCTTCTTCCTGTGAGCCCCCTCAGAAACTCCTTCCCTAGCTGATCCCCATTCGAACTGTTAGTTCCCAAATACTGGAAAACATTTTACTGGGAATTCCCGTTGGCCACACACAGCAGAATCTCTGAAGATGTTCCTATCGGTCAACATAGAGCCACCATTTTTTCCTACGAACAAGAGATGGAAACAGAAACCAAAGAACAAAATGCCCACCCAGCAAAGACAATACCAGATATCAGCACCTAGAATTAGAATTCTCACATGCCAAGATTCTTACATGTCAGCATAATAAAGAGACAATAACAATCAGGAAAACTCCATTAGAGCCAGCAACCTTACTAGAACAGAACAGGGCCTGTGTATTGCAACATAACTTAAGCACAAGAAAAAGAACTTAAAACACCTTCATAATTATGGATGAGGTCCTCAAAGATAAATAAATAAATCCCTTAAAGAAATTTATTAACACATAAACAAACCGTGGAAGGAAAGAAATAAAACAGTTCAACACCTAGAAGTGGAAAGAGAATCAATAAAGAATATCCAAACTGAGGGAAATCTGGAAATGAAAAAAATAGGGATTCAAGCAAGAACCTCAGAGGAAAGTCTCACCAAGAGAATACAAAAGACAGAAGAGAGAAAATCAAGCATTAAAGATATGATAGAAGAACTGTATATCTAAGTCAAGGAAACTATTAAATATAAAAATTGAGAAATAAAACAATCAGGAATTCTGGGATACCATGAAAAGAACAAACCAAAAATAATAAAAGGGTAGAAAGTGAAGAAACCTATACCAAAGGCACATAAAATACTTTGTCTAACCTAAGGAAGGAGGTGCCTATCAAGGTACAGTTGTCAAATAGAACACCAAATTGACTCAACCAGAAAAGAAAGTTCCCTCCTTACATAATAATCAAAATACTAAGTTTATAGAAGAAAGATTAATAAAGTTACAAGAGAAAATGACTAAAGAAATATGTAAATGCAGACCTATTACAATAATAGTTAAATCCTCATTGAAGACTCTAAAAACCACAAGGGCCTAGAAAAATGTTCTACAGTGTGAAAGGGACTACAGAGTCCCACCCAAAATACGATGTTCAACAAAATTTTAAATCATGGATAAAATAAGACATCCCATGGCAAAATCAAATTTAAGAAATACTTGTCTACTAATTCTGACTTACAGAAGGAACTAGAAAGAAAATGCCGACATTAAAGATGTTAGCTACTCCCCCAAAAACATGAGTCCAGCAAATCAAAATCACACACACACACACACACACACACCAATGATAAAAATGAAGAATCAACAAACACTGTTTATTAATACCTTATAGTATCAATTCCCAAATAAAGAAAGAGAGAGAGAAAGAAAGAGTTTGTGTGTGTGTGTGTGTGTGTGTGTGTGTGTGTGTGTGTGTGTGTGTAGGTAGCAGTCACTAAGAAAACAAGGACCTCTAAATCAACAGAATTTGTGCATGTTTGAGGTCATAGATACTGAGGCAGCATGCACAGGCCTGAAGAGGTCTGCACCAAGTGGGATCCTAGGGCAGAAAGAAGTGGGCACATCAATTAATCAGACCCACATGCAATCTCCAATTGACAGTCTCTTGCAAATGAAAACTTAGCTTTAGTCAAGACTGTTGTGTTGGAAAAAAAAACTATTTGTAAGTGTAGGCCAAATGGCCCAGCGTCGATAAACAGCAGAAAACAAAGTAAATGGCATCTTTAGGGGGCCTTTGTCTTATAATGTCATATCTGGGCTTTTTAACTGTCTTTTCTTTTGCTTTTATTTATTTTATTTTTGTGTGTATTCTAGTCTTCTTATTCCATATTTCCTTTGCATATATATTATGACTTCTAGTTCATTGTATTTAAGGGAATCCTGAGTTTGAGGAGTGGGTCTCTGCTTCTTGTGCCTTCTTTTGCACTCTTTTCCCTCTATTTGTTTTTTCCTATTCTGATGTTTTAGTTTTTGTTATATCATATTATATATTATATTATATTATATTATATTACACTTTATATTATTATCCTTTAGAAATCAGTTTGTTTCTTAGAAAAGACAGAAAGGAATGAACCCAGATGAAAAGAAAGTGGGGAAGAACTGGGAGACATAGAGGGAGGAGATACTGCAATAGGATATATTCTAATATGTTAAAAAAATCTATTTTCAATAATTATGAGTAAAAGATTAAAAAATAATGTCTAAGGACGAAGGAAGGAATCAGTTCGATCTTTCGACCTACAAAAGTCCTGGAAACTAGGACATGAGAAGATCATATTTTTTTTTAGTACTTTATGAGGTACCATGGTTCAAACCTTGATCCTGGTTTTCCAGCCTCTAGAATTATGAAATGGTACATTTTTGCTGTTTATAAAATTCAATTTGTAGTAATTTGTTATAGAAGTTCTAGCAAACTAATATAGCCATCTGTACCAATCATTAACAGAAATAAATACAAAAATAAATATTCCTAGGTGTGTCATTCTAGTAAATAGGAAACTCAGTTAATTGCAATTACTGAATCATTTTGTGTTTGAGACAAGATGTTATGTGGCCTAACCTTATCTTGCTTTCAATACTTATGCCTCCAAAGAACTGGATTACAGGTATATGCTGTCATTTCCACCTAGCTCCTGACTCGTCTTAGATCTGTTCTTTTCACTGTCATTGCTACTATCTCCAGATTCTTACACTCCATATTAAAATAAAATAATTAAGATTTATTAAAAATAAAAACAAGCACTACAGTTATACATGATGAAGACAAAATAGCAGTTTGAAATAAATTAACACTATGTGATGATCAGTCTCTTCAAAGAGAATTAACCTGAACTGTAATCAAAGGACATGTAGTATTAATTTATTTCAGTGCCATAACTCAATATATGTCCTCAATCTAAAACACTGTGAGGCAAATTAGAGATCCTAGAATAATTAAATTACATCATGTGATTAAATAGATTAAATTCTAAATTGATCAACTGTTAAATATCTTAGATGGTTGCTTCATGTATTCTCTTAAGTTACCACGAGCTATTCTTCTCCTGTGTGTGCTATTGTTGAGTGAAGGAGCATCAGGCCCATTAAAGCAGATTTCCCCATGGACTTTCAACTTGATACATGGAGCTAGGTTTGTGGTATGGTATCTTCAGCAAGTAATAGTTATTTTATGGTTTCTTTTTAATCATGAAAAATCAAAATTTTATTTTTACTTCATGTATTTCTGAGAAAGTATGACTTTGAAAGCGTTGATTTTGATGACAGAGTTTAATACACTAAAGTGCTTGGGACTCCTCTTCACTGGTCATGACTAATCCCTTGTTTCCCCTTCACCGGATACTGTACTTGAGACTTGATTTGATTTAAAAGCCATTGTACCCTTTCCAAGGGAAAAAAAAATTGCTCTAGCAAAACTGTCTGACCTGAGTTTCAGAATCTGAGAAAGCTTTCTTTCAATGTATCACTAAAGTTTTAGGTTCTTTAATGTTTTTTAGTGTTTAGCTTTTACTTCTGATATGATTGCCTAAAAATTATGTGATAAAAATAATAGTAATGTAATATCATAATAATTATTCCATTTAGTTTTGAATAACTTTCATAGCCTGAACAAGTTACACACAGGCTTTGGAAGGCATTCAATTTCTACTGCAGAAATTCAAGAAGGAAAAGAATAAAGTTTGATTTTATACCCAGAGTAGAACTTTAGAAGCTGAAGGCATAAAATAATCACAAAAGCCAGGCATTTAAGAGATAAGAAGATTTCCTCCATCCCATTACCCCTGGTGAATGTCAAGAGATAACCCACAGACTCAATCACAGCGGCATCCACATCTCTGAGTGAATAAGTCCCCCTCCCCTGACTAAGCTGGCTGAACTGTGGGCTTGTTTGTCTCTGGAAAAAGAAGGGTAAGAAAAGAATAAGCTAAAAAGATGCAGCAGTAGAAACATTGTGCTTTGGTCTCCAAAGAGAATGGGAAGAAATAAGGGATTTATGTTGGGAACAGGCAGCAAGACACAAGCATCTTGGATTCAACAAATGGATTGAACGAAAGAAAAAATTACTCCAGCTTATACCTGGGAAGTAGAAGAAGTCAAAGAACATTTCTCTGCACGAAAAGAGGTGTCTCACAGGAGAGAATTTCTGTGTGAATGTACCTGCAGAGTCAAGATCTCATTGAAAAGAAATCAGTAATTGCAGAGAAACAAAGAAATACACTTTCTGTACATTACTAATGACTAGAGCATGAGCACGTGATTTCAAATTATCTTATATAGACACTTCCCTAGTACCCATTAGTTTGTAAGAGCAGTCCTGATACATTCAGTGTAAAATAGGGCAGATTACCAATACTCAATAATTCCATCAATAATATGCAAAAATTAGAACCAATTAAAATGTCTGCATGGCTTTACATTAGTTCAGGAAAATTATCTGTATTCTGTCAATCATGTATTTAAATAAAATGCTGATTGACCAGGCAGGAAGTATAGGTGGGTCACCCAGACAGAAAGTAGAGGCAGGGCAATGAGAACAGGAGAAGGCTAGGAAGGAGGTAGCCTATTCCTCCACTCCTGCCCAGATCACCAAAGCAGCGGGATGTGACTTGCCAGCTGAAAAAGGTACAGAGTCATATGGCTAAAATAGATCAGAATAATGGGTTAACATGAGTTACAAGAACTAATAAGAAGCCTGACCTAATGGGCCAATCAGCTTTATAAATTGTAGAGATCTCTGTGTGATTTTCTTTGGGACCTAAACAGCTATGGAAACCGGGCAAGACAGAAACCCCCAACAAGCCTGGCCCTGATCATGTTGCATTGCGTGTGTGAAAACATTACTGAATACATAAATACTGCAATCAAACTCACCTTAACTTGAAAATAGAACTGCCATTTCCTGGGGAAATGGGTTTTTGTTGGTACCTGGGCCTTTTCCCCTTTCTTCGAGGCGCTATGCAGGGCTGTTTTTCTCCTAGCTTCCTGCCTTCTCTGCTTACTGTACCAGCTTGGGGGATTAGCTTAGAGAGAGCTTTGTCCTCTTTTGATATGGTAATTCCACCTGCAAGCAAAGGTTCCCACCGCAGTGCCTAAAACATCTGACATCACAGCTATTGGCATCCCTTCCCCTCAGTTCTCAAGCCGCTGGCGCCAGGCATCTGGCACCCTCATTCCCTGTCCCGGATGGGAGGAGGCTCTCATCCTTCTGCCCCCAAGTACATATACCTGACATGTGCTTAATAAAGTTGACATTTACCCTTTGGGCAAATGATCCTGGTCTCTCTGTGTGTTTCTGTTTAACTCCCAGGATATTGATCCAGGCTTGCCGTTCGGTTCGGGAAGCGCACCCCGTATAGGAGAGTAGGGCTCCGCCGATTGGGTGGGACAGGTTTTAGAAGAGTAACTGTACTTGTGAATTAATTAGAGCTAGAGAGAGAGGATTGTCTGACATCTTATAGAACAGAGGTCTCTTTGGGTTCACATACCAAGAATTCTGCATATCAGGAATTTTCATCATAATTCATAATGTAGAAAAATTACAGATATGAAGTAACAACAAAAAAAATTATGGTTGGTGACCACACAAGATTAGGAAATATATTAAAGTGTTGAAGCATAAGGAAGGATAAACACACACACACACACACACACACACACACACACACACACACGTGACTGAGAGTACTGAGTAAGAAAGATTTTTTGTTCAAAATTTAAGACATATGTCGTGTTTGTGTGTGTGTATTTGTGTATTTGTGTACAAGTCTGTACACTGTTACTATTTATGTGGATTTAAGAGATACAAGCTTTCTTTGATGACCTAAAGTTTTGGTGAGATGAATTTATCTGCAAGCAAGAAAAAAATTTTACCCTATTGAATGTTTTAAGGGAGATTGGCAATTTTACAACAAGGGCTCTAGAAGTACTGCAGCTACTCCAAGACTGTTTTAAAAATATTTTGTCTGTGTTGTCTTTTCAGAAAACAAAGGTATTGAATCAGGACTTTCATCAGTACTTAAGCACCATGATTTAATAAATATGATTCATTTGCTCAGAGACAGAAAACATTTCTAGATTGGAGTTGGGAGCTTGTGGTTTTTGAAATTAGCCTGGCAGTTTCCAAAATTGTCTGACTGCTGAAAAAGTTGAGATTCACATTCAGAACCCTGTTACACATTAACAAAAAGTCTCTTTCTTAATATTAAAGCCAAATATTCCCTGCATGAGTGAATAAGTTCGAATGTCTTTGCTTCTTTAAAATGTTTCTTCTTGCTTTTCTAGGGTGAGATATAAAACAAAGACAATGACAGCAGATTTATCTTGCTAGGTTCACCTACACTTTTAGGTAAAGCAAGCATCATTTGATTAGTATCTGGGAGTTATGTTATAGGCTCAGACTCCATCCTTGTATCTGTCTTAGGCAGATTGGGTTCAGATCTGTGTGTCTAGGCATGACGGGAGGTTTAACCTCAGACTCAAAAATGAACACTTGCTGGAGAGTTAGTCTACTTCATACCTCCATGTTCATCCCTCTCACAGCTCTATATCTATCCTTCCTCGCACTTACTTTTCTAAAATATTTGAGATTGTGGTAAAATATGCAGAAAATAAAGTTCACAATTCAAATAATTGCCTTTAAGTGAGAAATTGAAAGGGATAAAATACACGCCTATCAATCCAGAGCCATCAGCAACATCCCTTTTTAGAAGAGGTTCCACTTTTCTAAAGGCAAATTCATACCCACTAGGCTTCCATTCTTCCTCTCCCTTAGCTCTGCAGACCATGTGTGCAGTCTCTGTCATAAATGTTACTAACTTATATAGATTTTGTAATGAAATTGGAATCATTCAATGTTTGTCCATTTAAGAACAGAATATAGTGTCTCCAAGGTTCATCTGTCAGTAGCACAAGCCCTAAATTCTGCATTTAAAAACCTTAATATCATTCTGACTAATTTAATTTAAATGCTTAGAGAAAAATTGTGCATATTAACTTCTTGAGATTTAGTATATGGGGCAGAAACATCTTCCAAAGGTCATGTGCTAAAGGCTTTTTTTCCAACCCATGGTATAAATGGGAGGTGGCAGAATCTTTAGGAGGTGAGATTAGAAGGGTTTTGTCATCATAGTGCACCCTAGTGAATGACACTGAGATACCCACTCTTTCCTTGCTTCTTTTTAAAGTCTATAAGATTTGAAGTTTTCTCCATTGTGTGATTCCACTGATTTACTACTTGACCAAGGCTTCAAAGTAACCAAGACAAATAAGTAATTTTGGGCTGAAATCACTGGATGAGATACAAAACAAACCTGTCTTCCTTTTAGCTTCTTATTTCAGTTATTTTGTCAGTGTGGCAAAACTGACTCCCACTGACATTCTGTCTTCTCTTCTGTGTTGTAGTATCTGCAATAAAATATGAGCAAATACTCTTGATTGCTTTAGTTGCCCAAATAGAAATGAAACACTGACTACAGCTGCACCCTACATGCTTATCTTCAGAATAACCTGACCTATTCAGTAAACTTCCTGATAGAGGAAGAAAATCAGCCTGAACTGTAAATGACCTTTACTTTTTAGTTGCATCTCTTATTTTGGAAGAGTTCTTAAAGTCAAACTATATTTGAAATGAAGGTAGAGGAACTCAATAGCAAAATGCCTTTGGCATAACAGAAAAGTGAGGAGAGTGAAAACCTCTTTCTCACTATAGCTTGCCAGGCAATCGTTGCCTTATTTTATACTACTGTCACTTGGAAGCTATGAAATACATTTTAAAGAAATAATTATATTCTTTCTGAAGACCATTTGTCTGAGTTAGCACACATAACAGCTATCAAAAGTATTTTGAAAATAATCAAATTCATCCTTAAAACTACTAGATATCATGACAATAATTTATTATTTTGACACATGCTGGAAAGATCCAGGGAAAATCACTCTATCAGATAGTAGGAAAAGAATAAATAGATTGACTAATGCCAAACTTAATGTTAGTCAGTTAGGTCACCAGGACAGTGAGAAATACTAACAGCTGCTTCTTGTGACTGTCTGTCTGCACACGCTATCCCGACAGAGACTGACAGATCTCCTTAAGATTCTGCCACCTTGCCTGTGCATTCCCATTGCCAACATCTGTTTGTAGTAGAGGAACATAAAAATAAAGTGAGGAATATGGAGACCAAGGAAGACTGGATTTTTTTTTTTTGGTATCTTCACACCTAAAATGGAATCAACGTGGTACAGGGAATTGCTTCAATGTGATAAAACATTATAACTAAATATCATGATTAATAGCAGTTGATGAATTCTGTTGCCCTATCAATCATATGACATCACCTTTTCTGAACAGGTTTGTCTCATTAGTATGGCCTATTTATGGCCTTATCATATGACTCACTTGGTTTAAAAACCTTGCATAGGTTCTCATTACTTGCCAAATTTAGTACATACCCTTAGAGTTCTAATATTCTATATCCCAATGCTAGCGCCAATAGATTTGTTACATCACTTCTCTCTACTCAACTGTAATATGTGTGTGTGTGTGTGTGTGTGTGTGTGTGTGTGTATAATAAAATGACACTTGTACAGACTGTTTTCTGGAGGCAATGGTACATGTTCTTTCTTCACTATAGTTTTTATTACTATCCATCTGGACCCCCTTAGTGTCTTTGCCCCCTTTACTCTGAATATTGCTATGGAAGCCTCTTGGGAGTAAGTTCATTGGTGTGTCTTCTCCTTTCCACCATCTTATGAATGTATCGTTTTCACTGAATCCCTATAAAGTTAGCCCATGCTCGCATTCTTTTATCTTATTAATAATCCATTTAATTGATTATATTAGCTTCAATTCTAGCACATTTCATCAAAAAAAAAAAAAAACGATTCTGCCACCTCGCTTTTATTTTCTGCCTCCTCTGCCGCTATGGCGCCCATGAAAAAGCTTGTGGCGAAGGGGGGCAAAAAAAGAAGCAGGTTTTGAAGTTCACCCTCGATTGCACCCACCCTGTAGAAGATGGGATCATGGACGCTGCTAATTTCGAGCAGTTCCTCTAGGAGAGAATCAAGGTGAATGGCAAAGCTGGGAATCTCAGCGGAGGGGTTGTGACCATCGAACAGAGCAAGAGCAAGATCACTGTCACTTCCGAGGTGCCTTTCTCCAAAAGGTATTTGAAATATCTCACCAAAAAATATTTGAAGAAGAACAATCTCCGAGACTGGTTGCGTGTTGTCGCCAACAGCAAAGAGAGCTATGAGCTGCGTTACTTCCAGATTAACCAAGATGAAGAGGAGCAGGAGGATGAGGATTAAGACACATTGGTCTGGAATGTTTTGTATTAATTCATAAATAAAATTTAGGAACAAAAAAAAGATTCTGACACCTCCCATTTATAACATTGGCTGGAAACAAAGCCGTGAGCACATGGCTTTTCATTGCAGCTGGATCCCAAGTTAATGGTGCTGCAAAGAGGGGCTAACTGGTGAACCCCCAAATGGTGTGGGAAATTCTGTATTCTGTCAATTACATTTTAAATAAACACTGATTGGCCAGTAGCCAGGCAGGAAGTATAGGTGAGACAACCAGATAGGAAATAGAGGTGGGCCAATGAGAACAGAAGTATTTGGGAAGAAGGAAGCTCTTTTCCCAGTCCTGCCCAGACCTCAGAAGAAGATATCGATCCATGTGGCTAACATATACTAGAATAATGGGCTAATATAATTTATAAGAGTCAATAAGTAGCCTGAGCTAATGGGAAAAGCTGTGTTTTAATGAACATAGTTTTTGTGTGATTATTTTGGGGCTAACCAAGCTGGGCAGCTGGGGCGACAAGCAGGCCCACATGTTACACAAAAAATCCTGGGAGTGCCAGGTGGACAGAGGAGAACGTGAGGGAAAATTGCACCACATGTGGAGAGAAGTACACTCTTCTTACACTCAGAAGTAAGTGGTAGAATTTACAAAAGGAAAGAGAGAAGTGGAAAAGAAAAAATGTAGAGTAAAACTACAGTATATAGTTGTAAATATAGGACAAGGGAATAGTATGAAGTTATATATTTTGAGAGGAGCTAAAGTAGAGCAGAAACAAAGACAGAGAAATTTAGAGTTTGTAAATAGCATATTCCCGCCCCTATGCTGGCTGTGTAGCTACTGCTGATTTTGGATTGCTCCCTGACTCGGGAAGACAAGGTGAGGCCCTACCTTCTACAAGGGGCACTGCTATGGTTGCAGAGATACAGCTTCTATTGCTGCTGAATGGGTAGAAAGAGTAAAGAAAAAACGACAATTGGCCCCAACATCGCCTAGGTTACTTCTGAGATTTTGCAGTCCACACACATGCATTGTTGCTAGCTGAGTCTGATCTGTGCTGTACGGAGGAACTAGGAAAACCAAGCAGAAGTTTAGAGGACTAATTTTAACTCCTACAGTAAGCACCCAAAGTCGGCCAATAGAACAGAGGAGAGGATTCAGAAATCATTCTAATTTTATGATTCCGAGTTAAAATAAAAAGCAAGGCTAGCAAATATTGATGTAGCTACACCCACCAGAGCTTGTGATCATGGGCTACAGTTTTAGAGTCACGACAATAGTAGAGAGAGAGAGAGAGAGAGAGAGAGCCTGTAAATGTAACAACCACACCTAACACTGACCTCTAATGGGTCTTTTGAACTTAGAAAGCATGGCCTTTGTCCAGGAAGAACAGGGAATGAGGCATAGACACTGCCTGGTCTCTACTACCCAGCAAGCCAAATGGTGAAGGGAGGGAGCATGTCCTGTACCTCACCACACAGCTCAGCATCAGCCAAGATCCTAGACTGAACTGAAAGGCAAGTTTGCAAATTAGGTAGCCTCAGAAAAGTACAGATTCAGGACAGGTAAGTGGCTGTGAAAATAATAAGCAGGTTAAATATGGATTTTCCCCATTTTTGCTTCCTTGTCGAAAATCTGGTGTTCATAGGCATCCGGATTGACATCCAAAGTCTTTGATTCAGCTCCTTTGGTCCTTGTATCTGTTTTATGCTAATATCAGGCTGTTTTCAGCCCTGTGGCTTTGTAGTTGTGTTTGAAGTCAGGGATTGTGATACCTTCAGAAGTTCCTTTATTGCACAGGATTGTTCTGGCTATCCTAAGTTTTTGTTTTTGAGTATTGTTCTTTCGAGGTCTATGAAGCATTTTGCTGTGATTTTAATGGGAATTTTCATTGAATCTGTAGATGGCTTTTGGTAAGACTGACATTTTTTTATGTTGGTTCTGCCTTCCTAAAAGCATGGGAGAACTTTCTTGTGTCTTTAGTTTCTTTCCTAAAATATTTAGAGTTCTTGTCATATAGGTTTTTCTAATTGTTTGATGAGAATTACTCCAATATATTTTATGGTATTTGTAGCTATTTGTGAAGGGCAACGTTTCTCTGATTTCTTTCTCAGTTCATTTATCATCTGTATAAAAGAGGAGCACTGAGATTGTTTCCAGATTCTGGCTATGACAAAGAATGTTGCTATAAACATAGCTGAACACATGTTCTCACCAGCAATGGAAGAGTGTTACATTTACGCCACATTTTCCCCAGCATAAATTATCAGCAGTGTTTTTGATCTCGACCATTCTTACAGGTTTAAGACAAAATCTCAGATTTATTTTGATTTGCATTTCTCTAATGACTAAGAATACTGAGAATTTCTTATCTTTCATCATTTTAGGTTCATCTGTTGAGAGTTTTCTGTTTTGGTCTGCATCCTACATTTTTTTGTTGGATTATTTTTTCTTTTAATGACCAATTTCTTGAGTTCTTTGTATGGTTTGGAGATCAGTCTTCTCTCCAATGTAGATTTAAAAAGTCTTTTCCCATTTTGTAGGCTGATGTTTTGTCTTGTTGAGTATATCCTTTGCCTTACAGAAGCTTCTCAGTTTTAGGAGATCTCATTCATTAATTGTTTATCTCAGTGTCTTTGCCACTTGGATTGTATTTGAGATGTGCTAATTCATTCTAGTGTACTTCCAACTTTGTCTTCTATGAGGATCAGTGTTGGTGGTTTTATGTTCAAGTCTTTGATTAATTTGGATTTCAGTTTTGTGTATAACAATGAATTTGGATCTATTAACATTCTCCTAAAACATTATTTAAAATTTCTTATGAGAGACCTTGAGCCACTAAGTAAAATTCTTAAAGGGTAGTGATCCAAATTCCAGCAGTGATCCAAATTCCAGCAGGCAGATTACAGATGCTGCCGGACAGGTACTCAAGGAGGTAGAGTATGCCATACAAAAACATCAAGTACATTATATTAATTATTTTAAACACATTTTGAAGCAGTAGCTTGCTTAATACAGAAGAACTGGATAGAATCTAGGAGATACTTTGGCAAGGAATCAGCTATAATTAATGTTCCTTATATTGAGCAACAGAATAATTTTGCACAACTATATTCTTTCTAATATTATAACAAAAGATCTCATAAAGGATGTTATGCTAAATTTTACAGATTGCTCTTCCAATGGAAGAGCTGCCTTTATTATTGTTAATGGTAAAAAGGAATTATGTAGTGTGCCCATAACTCCTTGAAAACAACTTAAAAGGATAAAAAACAGGAGAATTAAGAATCACCATGTAATGCCTTAAGTCATGCACATTTTATGGATTGATGGAGGAGGGTTATCTGTCTATTGTGTTATTTTCATTGGTCAATAAAGAGACTGCCTTGGCCCCTTGATAGGACAGAAAATTAGGTAGGCAGAGAAAACAGAACAGAATGCTGGGAAGAGGGCTATGGGGCAGACGCCATGGAGACAGCCACCAGGTCATACATGCTGAATCTTTCCAGGTAAGCCACCACCTCGTGGTGCTACACAGATTATTAGAAATGGGTTAATATCAAGATGTGAGAGTTAGTCAGTAACTAACTCTCTAGAGATAATGGGCCAGGCAGTGCTTAAATGAATACAATTTGTGTGTTGTTATTTCTGGGGCTAAGCTAGCCATGCGGGAGCCGGGCAGGATGAAATGCAGGCCTTCCCGCAGCCCCTCACTACAATGGATGCCTATGAGCAAGCTGCTGCAGACAGATTTTGGCATGATGGCACCAAGACAGTCTTTGCTAAGACGAGGCGAAAAAGCCCTTGCACTGGATTATAAAAAAGATCTGACCCTGTATTAATTTGGGGTCGAGGATGTGTTTGTGCTTTATTTCACAGGAAGAAAATATTGACAGATGAGATGACTGCATATACAGCAAAGGAGTGCCAGCGGATGACATCGTAGCTGCTCACGCCCCCGTGGAAGGAAAGCGGTGCCTGATCTGCAGAACCAAGCTACAGCACACTTGTCACTGCTCTGCACTGCTGCAGCTATTCTGTGCTAAGGAATGCTGGGCTACTTCTGGACACTTGGAACCCACACTGACACTGAGTCCCTGCGGAAACAACTATGATAACCACAGCCCGCTGTAGTCTGAATCCTGTTTATTTTGGATCTGGACTAGAAACACAGACTGAACCTTCAACTGTTTTGATCTTTGGAACACAGAAGTTATTTTGATTAAAATATTGGACCTGAGAACTGAGACCTAAACTTTCCCCTCAGGGTAAGAAGAAGTCAAAATAAGGAATAACTATATCCCATAACTAAAGCCCACATTCACACACAAGGAGGTAGTAGTTTAAGAGTTGACTTCTGCTCAGAGCCTGGACTGTTATCTAGTAGCAGCAATGTCAGTGGACTCTCAACCTTCAGAAAAAAAATGTTCTTGTCAGCAGGCAGAGATGGGGTTAAATCTTCTTCACCTCATACACCTAAGACAAAGACTGACATAATTAAAATTCCTGTTCCAGTGCTGGGCAAGTCTGGGTAAATGAAGAAGCTTTCACCTAAGACAGACGCAATCATCTGTCCTGTTGCAGAAGCACAGGCTTTATTAAAATTAATAAGAAGGGAGGACTTGTAGAGGCCAAGAAATACAAATCCATTTTCCACATTATCTGGTGGTCAGAAAATCAACTTACAGGCACAGTTTGCACTTTCCACCTGGGAAATTTGATGCCATGATTAGTGTCAGGATATACTAATGTAATTCTGCTCCTCTCCATTGTAACTGTTAGGTCGCCTGAGAAGAGGTGTCCTCAGGCTATGTGACCTAGTGGATGTAAAAAACTGTGAACTGAGTCATTCCTGCTGCCTAGGAAATGGAATGTAAGTAAGCTTTTTATTACCTTCTCCCCTTGCTGTTGTTCTACTGAAATACATAACAAACAAGGTTATCAATGACATTAAAGCACCTTAAGAAATTAATTTTTCTTCTGTACAAAATTTTATGTCTATTAAATATTGTTAAATAGCATATTTATTTCTGTGGTAAAGAGAGAATTTCTGTGACCTTAT